TCTCTCTCTCTCTCTCACACACACACACACACTAACCCTACCCCTAAACATACCCATCATGAAATCCTGAAGAGACTGATATACTGTTCACTCTCTCTCTCTCTCTCTCTCTCTCTCTCTCTCTCTCTCTCTCTCTCTCTCTCTCTCTCTCTCTCTCTCTCTCTGTGTATGTGTATGTGTCTCTCTGTGTGTGTGTGTGTGTGTGTGTGTGTGTGTGTGTGTGTGTGTGTCAGACGCTGGCGGCGCTGCCCGATCAGGACTCCTTCTATGACCTGCTGGACGTCCTGGAGGATCAGGGCATGGAGAGCGTTTCCCAGCGGTACCTGGGGCGCAAGGGCACCGACCTGGACCTGCTGGAGCAGCTCAACATCTACGAGGTCTTTATGTTCTTAAGCCTCTGGGGACGGATTGGGCGGTACCGCCCAAAATGGCATACTTTTACAAATGTGTAAATATCTTAAAAACTATTAATGATAGAGAGGTGCGTTCTTTTTTACCGTCTTCCTCAGATTCCGCTGAAAAACAGTGATAACTCACCCGGCTTGTAAATATACACACTTCCTTGTTGCGCAATACCACTATGTAAAGGGCCAATGAAATCGATGTTGTTTGGCAGATTCCGCAAGGAACAACCAATGGAAAAATTGCCGATGGCGAAATATTTTTCTTATCCAATCAGAGGAAGGTTACCATGACCAGGACTCTGTAGCCTTGCAAGGGGTGGTACTATATAGTTAGGGTTAGGGATATGACGCAAACAGCGTTGAATGGAGAGAAGGAGAGAGAGCGAACGGAGGCTTACAGAGCGGATTATCAGAGAAATATGAGAGAGAGACAGAACAATTATAATATATATATTCATATACATACAATTATAACATTATTTATTGTTTTAGCACTTTTATGATGGCAAGCAGTAAACGATTTACGGTGGAACAAGCTCTGGAACAATTACTGGAGAGTGACGAGGAGAAAGCATTGCTTAGAAAATTCTAAGCATTCCTAAGAAAAACGGACTATTTGTAAATAAAGTTAAATTTTTCATTGTTCTTTACACATTTTATTTAACAATTACACATGTCTGTCAAGCAAAGGCTTTGACAAATATATTTTTTGTTCAAAAACTGTTCACTATTGTTGTGTGATGTGTGATTTTCAGAAATAAATGACAAAAATCTAATTTCCGTTTTTGAAATTCTCTAGTTTATTGTACAGTTTTCACTCATACTTCCTTTATAAACACATTACATGCATGCTTATGTTAGCTTAGGGTCTTCTGAATCCATAGATACCAAACACATAGTGTTCCATCTCCATTACATATGGTTTATAAGGCCAAATGTAAAAATAGAGAAAACGGACCAAAAAGGGCTCAGTCCCCAGAGGGTTAAACAATCGCTTTACTGATATTACTAAAGGGATAGTTCACCCAAAAATGAAAATTAGCCCATGATTTACTCTCCCTCAAGCCATCCTAGGTGTATATGACATTCTTCTCTCAGACGAACACAATCAGAGTTATATTAAACATGTCCTGGCTCTTCCAAGCTTTATAATGGCAGTGAATGGCTGATTCTGTTTTCAAGTCCATAAAAGTGCATCTAGTGCATCTATTCATCATAAAAGTGCACCTATCCATCATAAAAGTGCATCTAGTGCATCTATCCATCATAAAAGTGCATCTATCCATCATAAAAGTGCATCTATCCATCATAAAAGTGCATCTGTCCATGATAAAAGTGCATCTGTCCATCATAAAAGTGCATCTATCCATCATAAAACTGCATCTGTCCATCATAAAAGTGCATCTATCCATCATAAAAGTGCATCTATCCATGATAAAAGTGCATCTGTCCATCATAAAAGTGCATCTGTCCATCATAAAAGTGCATCTGTCCATCATAACAGTGCATCTGTCCATCATAAAAGTGCATCTATCCATGATAAAAGTGCATCTGTCCATCATAAAAGTGCATCTATCCATGATAAAAGTGCATCTATCCATCATAAAAGTGCATCTATCCATCATAAAAGTGCATCTATCCATCATAAAAGTGCATCTATCCATCATAAAAGTGCATCTATCCATGATAAAAGGGCATCTATCCATCATAAAAGTGCATCTATCCATCATAAAAGTGCATCTGTCCATCATAAAAGTGCATCTATCCATCATAAAAGTGCATCTATCCATCATAAAAGTGCATCTATCCATGATAAAAGTGCATCTATCCATCATAAAAGTGCATCTATCCATCATAAAAGTGCATCTATCCATCATAAAAGTGCATCTGTCCATCATAAAAGTATAAAAATGCATCATAAAAGTGCATCTGTCCATGGATAGATGCACTTTTATGATGCATTTTTATACTTTTGTAACTATCCCTTTAAGATATTTCCGCTGCTGCCTGACACGGTTGTGACCCGCAGGCGAGTCTTCGTCACGAGGACGGTGATGAGGACGGTGTGCGGGACCGGCGGCGGTCTAGTGTCGGCACCGGAGAGAGGCGGGGCTTGGAGAGACGCCGCAGTCGCAGGCATTCATTGGGCAGGACAGGCCACGCCTCCCCGCTTAGCCCCGCCTCCCCACACCGCTCGCGGTGTAACGGACCCGAGCTCAACGAGAGGTGAGAGACACTCAGCGCATCATCACACATCTGAAGGCATCCCATGTCAAACGAATCGCAAATAATATACAATTATGATAATTGTACAAAATGATAATTCTACAGTGCAACATCTGGTACAAATTGATCAAACTCTATTTCTATGTCGAACATGACGTATTATTTCAGACAGAATCCAGTCATATAAACGGAATTTACTATATAGCTCAAAATTTACTTAACTTTACCTTTATTTACGGTAAATTGATAAATTCCTCTAACATTTTTGATGATAAAACCAGAAAAACGAAATCCAGAAAAATTAAAACAGAAAACACAGAATTTGGGGAAAAAATTAAACATATTTAATTGGAACCTATTATGTTAACATTTCATAAATTAATTAATAGTTAAAGTTTTATGAATTGAGTTGTTTAGGCATTATTTTTGCAGATTAATTAATCAATTAAAAAAGCAATCCAAAGAAATGTGAAGAGAAGTGGAAAACAGCATTTGGGGAAAAAATAAAACAGATTTCATAGAGCGGTGTAATTGTTTACATTTTTATAAATTAATAAATGTATGAATTCAGATTTTTAGTTCTTGATTTGATTTTCATTACAATTTAATGAAACAAATAAAACAGAATTGAAAAAAATGAAAACGGATTTCTGGAAAAAATGAAGCGTACAGTAATTTTGGACAAAACTAAATGTATTTCATAGGCGAGTGTCAGTGTGAAAGTGTTTCAGATCAGCGAGTTATGGAGTTATGGAGCTCATGTTAGGGTGTTCCCTGAGAAGGGCGCTGCATGTAGACGGTGTGCACTTGGGTTCAGAACACATGTTTCCAGCGTGTGACGGCATGTTCTCGATGTGTTTCTGCTGCAGACATCATGTGACGCATGAATATCTCCCAGTGATGTAAGTCTTCATCAGACTCAGACTCACTTTTGCCTTTTTAATAGTTTCTTTGGATAAAGATTTATTCAAAAATATTTCTTAGAAGGACATTGTCTGCAGTTTTTGTGCTCTTTTTAAACTTTGATTGATGAAAACAATTTTTTAGAGCCAGTGTATTATCCTCCTGGGACCCAAGAATAGACTTTTGTCCACTGTAGTGGACATTATATTTTAGTGAATTTCTCTGACATCATACATGTCACATGACACAACCTGGGTGTCATGTAAATAGCACATTCAGGACTTTTCAGAGATACCAAATGTTTGGAGGTTTCACCATGAAAACAACTTCTCCTTGGTCTTTAAAAATGTCTGAGATTAATTTAGTGATCAAATGTAGCATTCTTATGGAAATATGATAATATAGTGTAATTATAATATAAATTGGACTACTTTTCAAATTGTATTTCATAAAACAACATCTCAGGAAAATGTTACGGGGTTTCAAATAAAAAAAAACGTTCTGTTACAGAACAGGGCATTGATTTCAAACGTGTCCACTGTAGAGGACATCAGGACTAAAATCATGTTTATCAGGCATTCTGGGAGACACAACAAGTGAATATGGAAATAAATTATACATCAATATTCCTATGAAATGTTAGATATTATTATTAAAATGTTGCCAATTATTACTCCAATTATTACCCTTATTCTTTCATTAAATGTTGCTCCAAGAACACATTAATGTGCAAATTAGATACAGTGTATAGATACATTGCATTGAATGGGAATATTAACTTATGGCCATTTTACCCACATATTGCAAAAAGTAAAATGGTGTATCAATTCATTCCATTATTTCTTTCATAACATAGTTGAGAATAATCTTTATACAAATTTTGGTTGAAAAAATCCTGAAACCCCAAAAATGTATTGGTGATTGAAAAAAAAATCCCATTGTTTTTGCCTATACATATAATTTCATGTCATTTTATTTTTTAAACAACTTAGTCCTGGCGTCCACTACAGAGGACATAGCATAACGTATGAATAAAATATTATTTTATATATATGTTTTTTTTACCATTTGTTTATTGTGCTCTAAACAGTGTGATGACATGGAAAAAAACTAAATTCAAAAAACTTTTTTTTTCTGGGTCTCAGGAGGATATGGAAGATTTTATTTTATAAAAAAAAGTTGAGCTAACTTAAAAAAAAAAAGGCAACCTATCACACTCACATTTATAAGTTAACTCAACTAATTCTCTATAATTAAAGTCAACTTAAATATTTTTGATCTTATCTTGTGATTGGTTGCCTTATTTTTTCAAGTTGGCTCAACTAGTTAAAGCTACTGTTACTCATTAGATGAACACAAATATTTAAGTTGACTTTACTTAAAGCAAACTAACTTTTTTTATAGTTATTATATTATGTATTATTTGCATATGTTTATTTACATATATATATATATATATGGATATACACTACCGTTCAAAACTTTGGGGTCGGTACGATTTTAAATACTTTAAAAAGAATTCTCTTCTGCTAACCATGGCTGCGCTTATTTGATTAAAAATACAACAAAAATCAGTTATAGTATTAAATATTATTGCAGTGTAAATCAGCTGTTTTCTGTGTGAATATACAGTAAAGTGTAATTTATTCCTGTGATCAAAGCTGAATTTTCAGCATCATTACTCCAGTCTTCAGTGTCACATGATCCTTCAGAAATCAGTATAATATGAGGATTTGATGCTCAAGAAACATTTATTATTATTATCAATGTTGAAACAGTTGTTGGTCTGTCAGTTGTACAGTTTTTTTTTTTTTTTTTTAGGATTCTTTGATGAATAGGAAGTTCAAAAGAACAGCATTTGTTTGAAATAGAATCTTTTGTAACATTATAAATGTCTTTACTGTCCTTGATAAATAAAAGTATTGATTTCTTTCCTCCAAAAAATAAAAATAAAATTCTCACGGACCCCAAACTTTTGAACGGTAGTGTATATTTAGTGTTTTATTTATTATCAGTATTTTATTACCAGTATTATTTATTATTTACATGTATAATATTTTGCACTATATTGTTATTGTATATATTGTCTTTATTATTGTTATAAATATTATGTTTATTAATATAATTATATATGATTATTTATTATAGTGTTATTTGACATATTATCAGTGTTATTATATTATATTATCATTATTATGTATTATTTACATTCATTTATTTGTGCTCTTTAAAGTGTGATGAGGGATTTTTGAGCCTCCGCACTAGAGTGAAATATATATATTTTATTAATATGTGTGTGTTTGGCTCATGAACACATGTTTGTAGGGTCGTTCAGTATCTGAGGTCTGCTGTGGTTATGATCAATAACTAACACAAACTGATCACATGTGTTCTTCACTGGTCATGTGACGCGTTCGGCTCACCTCAGATCAGTCTTATTTACTAGTTTCATAGATTGTATTAGTATTTAGTGTTATCAGACTCATTTCACGTGTGTATTGCACCTTGAGCTGCTGTCATAACCAACAGACTAATGTTTTCATGACGAAGCGGCCAGTGATGATGATGTCACAAACATGCGCAGACGCGTTCGCTGTCTCATCCCTTCTTTCCTTCTGCTTGTGTTATCCGTGACTCTCTCTCTCTGCCCGGCTGCAGAACAGAGGAGGATGAGGAGGAAAGTCCGGTCACAGAGTCAGGCTCAGATGATGATGATGATGATGATGATGAGGAGGAGGGGGAGGGGGAAATGAACCCTTCTAGTCTCAGTGTCATCAGGTATTTTAGTGCGGGCCGTGTTGGTTCTGGAGTCTGACCTCGAGTCCTGGAACCCTTTAAACACTCTCTGTGTCTCACACTCACACCGTGTCCTAACTACACACACCGCGACCCGCGATCAAATGCTTCTTTTCCATGTTGAGTTTTTGTGCTAGCCAGCCGCGACGGCGACGATGCTATTTTAGAAACGGTTTCTATTTTTCTGCGACGTTGCACTGGAACAACAAACACAAAGTGTGGCAATGCTAATCTCAGGCACTGTTTATGTGCTTTATTTACTGTTAAAAGCGTGTCATGTGACTCTGAATATCAGTTAGCGCTCCAGCTTTGCAGATGTAAAAGCAAGAATGGATAATTCACCTCAGATCTTGAAATTAAACAAATGGAAACAAGAACGTTCAAACTTTGGACAAACAAGTGTATTCTTTGACAAAGATTGTTTTAGTAACTCAGTAGCCTATGTGTTTTTAATGATGTTTAAATGGTGTAATATTTGTGAATTTGATTATGTACTTCTCCATGTTTTTCAAGATTACTCTCTTGGATTACTTAGACTCCGCCCACACGCTGCTCTGATTGGCCGTGGGTTTTGATTGATTTTTGCGTCTAGCGTGGACAAACAAATGATTTGCCGCTGGAATCGTGTGGCGTCTGGTTAGCACTCGTGTGATGCTGTCAGGGGAAACGATGTCCTCCACTGCTCACACCTCCTCTAGGAGCCCTAACACACTCTGTGGATAACACCTGCCTAATTACACATCTAGCATTTCTCACTTAATATATGCAGTTTAGTCATTTATGTCTTGTGTATAACCTCATATAACCGAGACTACACCTGATCACATTTACTTTCTCTATCCTTGTGTTTTCAGACTAATTATCCTGCTGGTTATACTGTATTATATGTGAATATATTAGATCTGTAATTCTGTATTATCAGCATTATTTATTATATTATATATATTATTATATTGTATCATTTAATATATTATCAGTATTATATATTATTTGCATAAATATATATATTCTAACTATCAGTATTATATTATCTGTAATATGAATAATTTACATACATTTGTTCACACACACACACACACATACACATATATATATATAATTAGATATAAAATATATATTTTATGTATTATAGTATATATATAAAATAGTAATATAATACATAATAATATAT